ATTTGAGGGTTTTTTATGTGTTGATATATCTATCTTGATGCAACATGCCCAGTATTAAATTTTGATTTAAAGTTTTCGTGACTGCAGTAATTCATATTCTTAGCTCTTTCGGTAAAGTCACGTTGAAGGGAAACAATAAAATAATAAAATACGGTCATCACACCTGATGATGACCGTTTGTGTTATGGTCGAAACGTCGTGAGAATTTTTATTGTTTTATATATATTTTATTATTTTATTGTTTCCCTTCAACGTGACTTTACCGAAAGAGCTAAGAATATGCCCAGTATTATTTGTGCTATTATTATTGCATCAGAAATCATACTGACATAAATGACGTAATGCATGTGTTGCTGTACAATCATTTAAAACTTAAAAACTGTAAAATAGTTTTCGGTTTTGTGTCTCTAAGGAAGTGTAGGTCAAAAGCAATTCAGTCGTAGGCTTTGTAACCAGAAAGATAAAGATTAGAATTGATGAGAATTTACGTTCAGAAAAAATAGGTCTCTAGTGTCTGACAATCCGGTTATAGATATCTCCTAGACACAACAGACTCCATGCTGCTGAGTCCAGCAGACCCATAGGGCCTGTGGCTCCAAGGTATATTAAAGAACCAAAAACATGGTGAAATCAAACAAAAACTCCATTCTGTGTCTCCACATCATCATGATCATCAGCCATGGTCAATCCACTGCTGGATGAAGGCCTCTTCAAGTCACCAGCACCTCTCATAGTTCCACGAGACAACAACACAACCAGCACCTGCACACGAGCCAGTTACATCGCTCCATTTCCTCAGAGGCCACCCTCTCAGACACATTCTTGGCGTGTCTCCATATACCAAAAATATGTATATATATAAACATATGTTGGCTTTCAAGACCAATATCATCCAGCAGAATGTATTAAAGCAAACAAACTCTGGACCAGTTTCGACCTTCTGGGTGTCATCCGTAGTCAGGCTTGTTCAACAAATGCTGCTGGATTCCCAGGGGTTATTGGCAAGAGCACTCTATCGAAACTATGGGGACCACATTCAATGCAAAATTCGTTCCCGTTTACATGCGGAGACAGAGCGCAGTTCTGCTTAGGAATGCGCTTACCCATAATGCTCTGAGAACAAGGTCACTCATTGCTGTCCGCTCCAATTACCACTGTTTTAGCTCCGATTATAATCCACGGTGAAATTGTAAGCACACTGGACTTACAATCCAGAGGTCGCCAGTTCGATTCAGTCGTCCGGCACAGCCTCTGTCCACCCAGCGATCAGCTGGTCGTGTGTGGTGGGATACAGTGTGCGTACCCCCACTTATTCCAACACGTCTGTCCAGCATGTGAAGAGTAGACCAAATACCCTCTAGAACTCTCCTTAAGAGAAGCCCTTTCCTCCAGCAGTGGTGCGATCAAGCAATTGCAGGGCTGCACCACTTCCCTGTTATCCGGCGGCAAGAGCTTTCCTGTCGAGCACACACAGAGCCTTGAGCAGATGATCATTCCCATTGCCTTTCCTGCTGGGGCCATGCCGACGTGGGTTTTAAAAAAAAATTCGCCCGTTGACACAAGCAGAGCGGGCAGCTGGAGATTTATCACGGTAAGAGAGCTGGCAAGTAATTCCACACGCAGAGAGGTCCTTATTCTCGCGGTGTCCACATAGAGAGAGCTATGTGGGCTATCCTTCCGTGCACTGCACGTGCGTCTGGCTTAGAGAATGAGAAATGTCGGGCCCGCGTGTACTCTGGAAGTCCTGATGAGGTCAATTTTTGGCTGCTGGCTCAAGATAAATTAACACAAAAAATAATTTCGTGAACGAAATATTGTACATTTACATTAGACGATTACTTTTAAAGTTAAGGCGTGACGGTAACCGAGCCCATCATCTCTACAGGTGTCAGTAAAATACATACCACTTTGTGATTATTATACTGTATATAGAGACTGGCTCCTGCCATAGTAATGGCTCAGGTCCATGAATACGAATTAACGGCTGAATCTTCTTCCACGCATTTGTTCCACTCATGTGGGCTGAATGGAGACACTCTGACTGTCACTTGACTTTTTGGACAGGCAGCAGTGTGTTATCATGGGAAGAATCGTCCCCTGCCATGAGAATGTAGAACTTCCAACGTGGGTATTGGATCACGAGCAAAAACAAGCACACTCTGCTCGTTTGAGCGTGTGAAAAATTGTGATGTCTTCACTACAGATTCACTTGAACGTTGTTGCGTGGAGTATTTGCGGATTTTTCATGGCATCGTAAAGATTGGCTTGGAAGTAAAATAATATCTCGAAGGACTCGGGAAAAGTCACCAAGTTGTTTTTTTTTTAAAGGATAGCTAGTAAAAATATTTGACAAAAAAGGTAAATTGAAGAATGTCCTTTGAGAGCCACCCGGCAAAGTTACGTGGAGAATAGGAGACAGCGGATTGAGGAATGCTATAGCAGGAAACACAAGTGAGGAGATGTTTGATTTAAGAAATCTGGCCGGCCAACCATAGATCATGAAAATGCAATGGGAATTTATTTTAAACACGGCACTCTTTGACAGAGAAGACACGTGACAGATTGTCAAGACACGTAGTTTGGAGACATCTAAGAGCACGGGGGAATTGGAGAGTATGTGTTGGGAGGAATTTACTTTCATTGGCTAGAGCCGTGTTCAAATGCCCATGGCAGTGTCGGACTGGCTTACGATAAAAAGATGTTCGTGACAGGGGAGTGTTCAGTCTTCAGTTCTATCGATCATTGTGATAAATGCAATCTTGGGAAAAGTTCAGGAAGGATGATGCATCAGCAGGGCGATGGCTGCGTTGTGGTGCAGAAGCTAAGATAGAATATAAGGGGCACCACGGTAGCGAGATGTTAACTACCTCGCCTGGTATGCAGGGAGTCGTGGGTTCGATCCCGACCGTGACACCTGCTGTATATTTGGAGTTTGCTTGTTTTCTCTCCCCGTGGTCACGTGAATTTTTTCTCCGGGTCCTACGGTTTTTCTCTCCACATTTATAAACACGCGTTTAGAGCATTTGGCTGCAATACATTTACACATGATGATAAGCCACTTCGTTGAGCTATCATTTGTAGCCAGGTCCACTTCTGAAAAAGAGCTATACAGCTCAGTGGGCCTTACCTGGTAACATAACATGAATAAAGAGAGACGTGGTGATCTGGGCAGAAAGTAGAGTTCACCGCCCCTTCTTGGAATGTTTCCTGGCTTGTGTGAGACGTTGGGATTGTGGTCTGGGAAGTTGAGACTTTTAATGGACCAATTTTCTCTGTTGTGGTAACTTCTTTTGTTTTTGTACTATTTATTGATTTGTTTATTAATTTTTGTCTTTTTCTGAGCGTTTTCATTTGCTTGGTAGTTGCTCTAAATAGGATGTGGCCCTCGTACATAATTAGTGTACAGCATTGTGGGATGCAATTAGTATGAATGCAGCTATATCAAATGCACGACAAATTATGGGAAATTAATAGGGGAACTTGGTAGTAGGGTCTTGTAAAGCATACACATCGAGATATTACTGCGTGTAAAAAGCAGTGTCTGCACAAAGAGACCGACAATGCTGATGATGACAGTGATGATGATAATGATGATGTACACAAACATATGTTGTCTACCAATCAACCCCAGCAGTACCTGGACGCACAGACCAGCGATGCTGGTGATGACTGTGGTGATGATGATGGTATGGTGGTGGTGATGATAATGGTGGTGGTGATGATGGTGGTGGATGTGGTGATGATGATAATGGTGGTGGTTATGATGATGGTGGATGTGGTGATGATGATGATGATGATAATGGTGGTGGTGGTTATGATGATGGTGGATGTGGTGATGATGGTAATAGTGGTGGTGATGATGGTGGTGGATGTGGTGATGATGGTAATGGTGGTGGTGATGATGGTGGTGGATGTGGTGATGATGATAATGGTGGTGGTGATGATGATGGTGGATGTGGTGATGATGGTAATGGTGGTGGTTATGATGATGGTGGATGTGGTGATGATGGTAATGGTGGTGGTGATGATGGTGGTGGATGTGGTGATGATGATGATGATAATGGTAGTTATGGTAACAATGACGATGAAGAGGATGATGACGTCTCTGAACCACAACCACAGCACCGCACCTGCAAGATACAGATGGTGATGATGACGGTTATGATGACGATGATGACGGTGATGATAATGTTGGTGGTGGTGGTGATGATAATGGTGATGGTGATGATGGTGGTGGTGGATCTGGTGATGATGATGATGACGGTGATGATAATGTTGGTGGTGGTGATGATAATGGTGATGGTGATGATGGTGGTGGATCTGGTGATGATGATGATGATGACGGTGATGATAATGTTGGTGGTGGTGGTGGTGATGATAATGGTGATGGTGATGATGGTGGTGGTGGTGGATCTGGTGATGATGATGATGATGACGGTGATGATAATGTTGGTGGTGGTGATGATAATGGTGATGGTGATGATGGTGGTGGATCTGGTGATGATGATGATGATGATGACGTCTCTGCACCACACCCGCAGGCTCCGCACCTGCAGGATGCAGCTGGTGATAACGGTGATGATGATGATGATTTGGTGATGGTGATGATGGTGATAACGGTGATGATGATGATTTGGTGATGGTGGTGACGATGATGATGATAACGGTAATGATGATGATGACGGTGGTGTTGGTGGTGATGATGATGATGATGATAACGGTGATGATGATGGTGATGGTGGTGATGGTGGTGGTGATGATGATGACGGTGGTGGTGATGATGATGATAATAATGACGACGATCCACACCTGCAGGACGCAGCTGGTGATAACGGTGATGATGATGATGGTGGTGATGATGACGGTGGTGGTGGTGATGATGATGACGGTGGTAGTGGTGATGATGATGATGACTCGTGGTGATGATGATGATGATGATGACGATGATGTTCGGTGGTGACGATGATGATCACGACGATCATGATGACGACGACCCACACCTGCAGTACGCAGCTGGTGATGTCCGCGGCCACCTTGGCGTGTGGCGAGTCCCCGCGGGGCTCGTGCGCGAGCGCCCGCTCGAGGCAGGCGCCCCACAGTGACGCGAGCGCCGGCGCGTGCCGCTCCACGGAGCGCGTCTCGCGCAGGGCGGACGTGACGCGCGTGACGCAGATCTCCACCACCGCCTGGTCGTTGTCGCTCCGCAGGTAGAGCTGCGGAGCGGAGGGGTGCCACGGTGGGGAGATGTCAACTGCCTCGCCCACGGGAGTGGGGGGGGGACGGGGCACTTGCCGATGGTCTCCCTCGTGGGTCTCCATCCAGACCCTGACGACGCCCTGCATTTTCTTGCCGTGGTTGTTCCACCTGATGAAGATTGCTTGTGTCGCGATCGAAACGTCGTATTTTATTGTATTCCTAACTACGTGACTTTGCCGAAAGAACCAAAGAGTATGGATTCCTGCAGTCACGAAAGCTTCAAATCAAGATTCTATATTTGGAGTTTGCGTCTCTCGCTCTCTCTCTCTCTCCTTGGTCGCGTGGATTTTTCTACGGGTCCCTCCGGGTGTTTCCCTGCACGTTTAGCTGCGTGCGTTTTGGAGTATTTGGCCTGCTAGACATTTCCACGTGGATAAGCCACTTCGTTGAGCTTTAATTCTGTGGCGAGGTCGCTTCCGATGAAGAACTACATAGCTCAGTGGACTTTGCCTGGTCAAATACAAATGTGTTTTTTCTTTTAATCAAGCGCAGGGCAAGGAACAGAAGAATATGTTCGCACATCACCACTGTCACGGCTGCTATAGCGACAGGTGGCACGATTTGAGCATCATCATCGCCTGCTAATGATAGTGATGATCATGTTGAGTTTCATATATGTTGCGTCGTTGTTCGCGCAATTTGCATCTCACAATCGCTGAGGATCCGCAGACAAACTGGAAGGGCTGCGGCAAGGCCGTGAGATGGTGCTCTCCAACGATTGCCCAAAGTTCTGCAGTCCTCTACATATTAAGATTTGTTTAACAATTAATGAGTTTCTATGCATGCGAGAGGAAACCGGAGCAGATTGGACAAAATTCACACGTGCGAGGGTGCAACACTCTATCCCGTACAGAACGAACAGGTGACATTAGTCCGAAACTTTGCGTGTAAACCAGGGTATGGCGCTTGCTCAGAGCCGACGCGAAGGGAGTTTCACACGAGATTTGTGTGATCCACCAACCCCCGCCTCCACAGCGCTGGGATTACAGGCCACGTACATAGCCGCCACAGCTCGGCACAGATACCCGATGTCGCGCCTCACCGGTGGTCGAACTGTGGCGGTGTGTGTGTGTGCACGTTGAACTTCTTTCGCGCCGTACGTAGCCAACCGCGCTAATCGGAGGTGCGCGTGAAGGACAACAAACTAAACACAAAAAAATCGGTTCTCGAGAGATTCGTTTGTCAAATCTAGATGATGATTTCAAAGCGCTTAGCTCCGGTGACTTCCTCATATCGGAAGGAAGAGCGTTCCAGACGTGCGATGCGGTGACCACCGTCTTTGTTCGACGTTCTAGCCAAAAGCCGCCGCCGCCGTAGCGAGGACGGCCGGAGTTCGCGTGATTGTTTATGCTCCGTGACGAGATCAGCGAGGTATCGTGACTCATTTGCGACAAGCACTTTGTGTGTGACGGCACCGTCACTTGTCAGAGCAGCCAACGCGTATAACCGGTACGGTACTTACTCACTGCCTGCGCCTCACACAAGAATCGAAGCACTCACGTAGTGAGGAAGCACGGCACTAAGCTCCAATGAGCCGATAAGCATTGCGCGCACTAAAGTGTCCAACAAACTAACACTTAGGGCTCGCATATCGTGACTCTTGTAAGCTTAACATAGGCGGAGTGCAACACTGAATGTCGTTTAGGAGAAGGTGAGTTGTCAAACGTTGTTACGTACGGGGGGCATCGCTGTCCAGTGTGCAGGCGCTGCAACTGCACCAAGTGCCCGGGCCGGCGATGCCGGAACCAGTGAGTTTGAGTCTCTAGTTCTGGCTCGAGTGCCCTCTCGCTACCGGCAGCCGTGCCCATGGTTGTCATCTCTTCATCGCGATGTACGCCTTCCGAATGGCACGCAATTCCTACTCTCTCTCTCTCTCTTCGCTTTCTCTACACAGGCACTGTGTTGGCGCAAACGCTGACGTTCTCTCAACGCTTATTGAGCTTTGGAACTCGCCGTTGGCCGCCAAAGTGTTGTTGGTTCTCGCCTTAAAATATTTATGCCCACCGTCCAGGGTAGGGTCATGGCCTCTCGAGAAACAAACTTTGTCATTTTTAGAAGAGGAAATGGTGTTTACTGATCGTGGGTGTATTTACTCATCACGGTACTACTGTTAGTTTTTGAGTTATAAATGGGAAAGACAAACATATAAATATCTTTGAATAATTCAATAGTATCAGTATGATGATTACGATGATGATGATGATGACGACGGTGTGTGGGTTTTCCATAGACACTGCGAATTCCCCTTGCACACGCAAATACTCAGAAAAGAATTGGCACAGCCGCCTGAAACCTACTGAGGCGTTTTCTGTGTAAGCAAATTATCATGACTTATGCATTACAATTCAACTGTATCTAATTACTTACACAGTGCCACGTTGCCATTGCTGTGTGCGCGCGCGTGTGTTTGGCGCTCAGTATGCGTGAGAAGTTCCACTCTCATTATTTTCAGTCTGTAAAGAAGAATTCTACTGGAAATTATTATCAGGCTAAATCATACTGGAAATGGAGTCACAAATGAGAATGGGGTTCATGAGCGGGATACCTTTAGTTAATTTGTCATTTGTGGAGAAATACGCGACAGAGATATGGTAATAAGTCTGCCTCGCACTGGGTCATTCAAGTTTCGTTTTAAAACACAGTTACCTAACATATATACGTTTAAGGGAGGACATTATCTTCCCACACACTAATGTATGTCGCGATACCGAATGCGTAATCATTGTTACGTTTCAAACCTGGTTTTGAGTTGCCTGCAATCACAGTGTAAATGTGTGGATGTGCACTTTGATGTGAATCTGTTTTGGAATTTTTACGGCCTTTTATTCATTAACCCACTGCTGAATAAAGACCACCCCCGTGTCATGTCAGGTCATGGGGGTTGTTGGACCGTATGGAGATGCAAAGTGTGAATTTCCAGTTTTAGCAGTGCTGCTATTTACACACGCCACACCAGGCACTAAACGGAGGCTGAGTCAACTTACAGGAAGCTCGGGTTCAGTTCGTATATCACTCACGGCTAACATTGGCTTTGGTTGGGAATCCAACTTAGGTCGCCGAGTTCATAGCGCGTTGCAATAACCATCCCGCGACCGCCACCCCACATAGCCGTCCGTATACACAGTCTTCAGTAAAAAAAAAAATGTTTAATGATGATCGATGTATTATAATTTGAGGAGGTTCGTTGCAACCTTTTGGTTCATCTGATGTAGTTGCCTCTTGATCAAGGGGTAAAATAGGTACACCGTGGTAAATTGTTTCCGCAATGGTATGGGGGGGGGTGGAGTAAAATGTAGCCGTGAGTCTTGAACGCAAGGGGCCCTCCCGTGTGTGGTGGCGTACGTGTAACGCCGGTACGGGTCGATCGGCAGATGATTCTGCGCACACTATTTCTCACCGTCTCGACGTGGCGCGCAGACTGGTTCCGTATTTAGAACTGTGCGCAAAAGGCTCACGGAGGGACGATATCTCACGGATGGAGCGCTGCGTGGTCTGTGATCGGACTTTTACACACCACGTCCTTTTGCTGCTAACAACCTGCGCTTCACAGGAGGCATTCGCTGCTGTGCGGTCTTCGTTCTGCTCTGGGACTAATGATGGTAACGAGCTCACACCATGCTTAAATGTGAATTCATGGAAATTGCATGACTCCCTTCGCAGATCCCAAGGTGAAAAGGCACTCTGAGTAACTGATTCCTGCTGAACGGGTTAATCACTTAAAACTTTAAATCTGAAGTGGTAAACTAATTTAAATATTTTGAGAATTGTTCTGTGTGTACTCTGGTGTTATGAACTCTAACTGAATATGAAAATTCAGAGTCGTGACCTTCCATTAATAGATTTTGCTTTTTTTTAACGATGTATTGTTTTCATTGTTGTGCACATAGTCTATCTTGAGCTCGGTCCCATATTTACTGTGCATTCCAGTCGTGCCTACTATTACTATTGTTACACATGGAAGTATGTTTGTACTGCAGGAATGTATGTGTAATGTCACCACGTGTTCGAGTTTATTTTGTTTTAACCAGCTGAGAATGCAAGGAACCAGAATGAGTCTCATTTGCAAGAGTGGTCTTTCAGTAGCAGGTAATAATTCCTGTATATAATCCCAATTATTCAACAAACTATATTTTACATCATTAGACCTCCTTTGCCAGTACCAAAATATAATAATAGGGTTTTTCCCCTTTTTTTCTGGCAACAAAACTGAAACCTTTTAAACAAGGAATCATGTGATGTAGATGCTTACCCCTTAGCCCTCATTACTTTCATAGTGCATTGTCTTTGAGCTGTACGCCTTTTGGCGTCCTCTGGTCTAGCACCAATTGAGACGAGGCTCAAAAGAAAGCCGTCTCTGGTGTGGACCAATCAGTTTCAAGGACAATGCATATATTATCAGTGTGTTTTTTTTTGTTTACATTTTGACCACAAATATTGTGGTTAATGCACACATGATTCCTTGTAAAAAGGTTTCAGTTTTGTTGCCAGAAAAAGGGGAAAAACCCTCTTATTAATCTATATTTTGTTATTTTACCAGGTAAGTCCGACTGAGCTATGTAGTTTTTTTTTTCCCAGAAGGGACCCGGCCATCACAAACGGTGGCTCAACGAAGTGGCTATTCGTGCGGAAATTTATGAGCAGCCAAATACTCTGAACGAATGTTGATTCTAAATGTGGAGGGGGAAAACCGGAGGACCACGGATAAAAATCCACGCGACCACGGGGAGAACATACAAACTCCAAATATACAGGCGTCAGGGTTGGGATTGAACCTATGACCTCCGGTATACTGGGCGAGGTAGTTACCGTATCGTGGGTATTTTTTTTAACTTGGCAAATTCGGACAGATGAGCAGTGAGAGAGAGACGATGCATTAATGTCAACCACAAAACAGGCATTATGCCTTAAACACCACGTCTGTCTCGCCAATGCACTTTAAACATGTTCAAGCGTCCTGCACTGCTGATGCCCTGCAAACTGACAAGTAACGAAATGCCGTGCACGTTTCGTGTTGAGCAATGAGCAAAACTAGCACGTTTTGAGCAGCAGATGGCAATATTTACCACAATTGAAACTTCGCACACGCGTACGGCTCTGTAGTGCAATGCATTAAAACGATACATTTACACAATACTCAACTTAGAACAGGTACGTCAATACACCCTCCTTAACGATTCGCTGAATGTATCATGAGCTTAATCATAAATATAAATCACTAAATGATGCATTGTTCTACCCATAACAGTAAGTGTATATATCCGTTGAACAATAGAAGAAAGGAGCATAGCCGTTATTATTATTATTTGAGAATATATTCACTGTATTGGTGGTAGTAGCACATACTCCTAATCCGGCACTGTGGTGGGAAGGGTTAGTGGATCATACAAGTTTTGCGAAACTCACTTCCCGTGTGCTTCGAGGTGCCATACCCTGGCTTGCCAGGAGGAGGCTGTACAGAAACATGTAGGCTGATATCCTGTTACTTTTGTATGGGATAGAGTGTTTCCCCCTTGCACGCGCGAGGTTTACTTGGGGTGCTCCAGTTTCCTGCTAATAATTAGTCAATAATTAGTTAGAAACATCTTAATATGCCGAGGGTTGTAGAGCTTGGCAATTGTTGGCACCGGTTCACCACATTTTCCTTTCCCAATTGTCGGTGCCTCCATGGCGCCTCTGAGTTGATCTCTCTTGTCAAGAGTGAACGAACGCTGCGTGACGGCGATGCATTCAAAGTCAAATCATTGTCATTGTTGAATGCCTGTTGTGTGTCCACAGAGATTTGACAAAATATCATCACAGATTAAAAGAGAAATTTCAGAAAATTAACGTTTCTAAAAGTTTTTTTTCTCATATAACTTTATCTTATTGCGCCATAATAAAATGCTACACAAATCGTGATTTGAAATGCCGAATACGCTGAACGTTCACTTTCTGGTGAATACACCCAGGCAGAAATTTTGCTCCAAATTGGCAATTCCAGAACCACAACACTAGCCCGAGAAGATCACAGAACCACTCACTGTGTAGTAAAAAATGAAATGCGTAAGAAAGACATGGCCCGCTTCTAAAGCTACTCACAGTTCAATCGAGCTATGTGGGCCCAACCCACCACCATCCAGTCCAGACCTGGCACCTTCAGAAGTTAATAAATTCTGCCCACTGAGACACTGGCCTACACCGGCAAGGTTTTGTCGAAATGGCACCGCCCGACAGGATGCCGATCCACAAATATTCACGTGGCACCAGTGAATCCCTTTTACGGTGATGGAATGCTGGCCCCTGGTTTTAACGTCAGCACACCGTGCATAGAAAATATGTAAAGCATGTTGAAAAATAGACAAATGTTCGTAACATTTGGGTATAATGTGACACAGACCTATTTGGTTTGGACAGGGAAATAAGATGTGGGCCAACAAATGACCACCATGGAGCCTTGCACTGCCAAGTGGAAGGAGAAAGTATTGGAGGCTGTCCGTGTTTGAGATGTATTGATGCAGAGGACCAGGATTTCACAGAGAAAGACAAGTGAACAAGAAGAAATCGCTTCAACTGCCATGTGAAGACTGATGGAATAGAAAATATGAAGAAGAGTTAATGACTATCCAATGAAACAACATCTACTATTTTGTATCAGTGGCATTAACAAGTAATTGAGAGGAATAATAGGAGGCATTACTTTTAGCGTATCTAGTACATGCGAGGACATCATCAAAATCGGCAATAGGCTTTAGTGGCCTCCACCAGTAAATCTACTTGAGAATGGCTCCACATTCCAGAATCTTTACCTCGTCCATACATCCACCATCCCATGAACAAAACAAACACTTGGATCATCAAGAAGCCTTTCCACGGAGGTTGAAAGCTTCTAAAGCTGCTCACTTAAGGGCTCATCGATGACATAATGGAACTCAGCTATACTTATAGGGGATGACTCACCCCATCATTCGTCAAAGGGATGCTTGGCTTTTTTGATGTACGTATGTTGAACTTCTTTCGCACTGGCAGTGTAGCGGTTGGCACGCCGTGCTATGAACCCGGCGACCCGGGTTCGATTCCCGCTCACGACCAACACCAGTGACGATTATCTGAACTGGTCCTGGGCCTCCGCTTGGTCGACTCAGCCTCAAATTAGTACCTGGGGCGATGTGTAAACATCGCCACTCGGGAGACAAAGGCGGCCGGGCGTGGTGCTGGCCACCCACCTCCTCGTGTACCGTGCCGGCCTTCACAGGTGCTGCTCGCTAACAGCACTTGCCCCTACAGTCTGGTCAGGCTACACTGGGGAGACCTTTGTCTTATTTTGTATGTTTAACTTCTTTCGCACCATACGTGGCCAACCGTGGCTATATTGGAGTTGCGTCGAGCACCGGGGTTCTCATTTAATCGCAGCCGCGTTTCACTCACCGGTGAGGAGACGATGACCTTGATCTGCTCCAGAGCGTCAGAGAGGCCATCCTCGATCTCGGCATCGTCCAGGGAGAAGATGTCACCTGCCAGGGAGAGGTCCCTCTTTCCCAGCACCAGAGCAAACAGCTTGTGCATGATTGGGCCCTCGGAGCCAAGTTATCTGCTCATCAGGTGGGCCATTTCCGCGAGGTCAACGCTCCCCAGCCACGTTGGAGTGAGGCCCCTCGTAAGCGAGGTTCCCCTTCATGCCTGTGCGGGTGTGAAAGTCAGAAGGATTACCACTTCAGCATAGCAGCAGTGGTTTCGATTGCAGCGGTATTAGAATTCAATACGAACGTGCAATATTTAATTATAATAGGGTCGGATTAAAGGTTATTGCAGGCCCTTGGCACTTCTGTTTCGTAGGCCTTCAGTGATAACTTTCTACAGTTGGAACTGCTGCTGGTGCTGCCCCATGTCACTACCGCCGCTGTCACTCCGCTTGTTTCACGCATACTTCGTCCAGCCGCTGGACAGATGTCGTCACCGATGCGTTCATTATTTAGTCTATGCCATCATTCGATGGGAGTGCGCTGTGTGCCGCAGATAAACATATTTAATTTGAAATTACTGAGAGAGCAAAAAAAAGGTAACCTAAAATACCACAAGCGGAAATGTCTTCAACGAATTTTTATGTTAATTATCATATCGTATGACGCAGCTTTGAAAAGGATGTCGTTCATTTTCATCGATAACAAATGCAACGTTCTGATAGGACGCCCGCGTGGCGAGCACAATATTGCTTACTTTCGTTTAAGCTTAGCGATTTGTTTGACTGTTATTGTAGGTGTAATATGTCTCACAACGGGTCAACGACCAGTTACCACTGCAAACAAATTGCAACGAGCAGCCATATAAATATATTTCTTCTTGGTGACTACAAACGAAAAAAAGACATGGTCATATTTTGTATTCGTAGGCCCTATTGGATAATACGGCCCTGAATCATAGCACCGATGACCTGAAAGTTAGTGACCCAATAAGCTGTAATGTAAGCCTATATGTTATCAGTCATTCATCATCAGCCATGCTTAATCCACTGTTGAACGACGGTCTCCCAGATAAATGTGCCAACCCATCTGCCCCTGGAGATCAGGAACTCACAGACAATAGAGGCTTTTAATTCCCGTCTGAAGACCCCACCACTTGTTTGTGAAGGTCTCTGCTCTCTGGTTCTCTTTCTGGTCTCTTTAGTCTCTATCTCCACAGTTACTTCCAAATTATTATCTTCATTTATATGCATGGCGTTCTGAGATCTATTGTTTAAGGGCGCCTTATCATTAATATTATAAGTAGTATCTGCAGAATAGCATATTTCCTCACTCCACGTCCACCTAAACTTTTGCAGAATGCCAACTGGATAAACAGGATTCCTGTGGGGAGTAATAACCATATTGACAATAAACCGCTTACTATATGCGCGGTGATAAAATAAAAGTGCTTGGAATCACCATTTCAAGGTGCTAGGGGGGGGGGGTTGCCAAATTTCTCGCAGGCAACACTAGCAATCAACTTTTGAGCACCCGGCAATTAGTAAGTGAATCCCAGTAAACCCCTTCTAAATAAAACCAGAAAGTGGCGATATATCCGGAAATGCTGCCCCTAATTACGCGCTGTTCGCAAGGCAAGCAATAGCGCAGCGCTAAATTGCTTGCTACGGATATCATAATGGCTCGCTGAATAGGAGCGATAACACGAGCAGGCAAAACACAAGCGGGCGGTCAAGCTTTTCCAACAATGGAGCCTCGTTTATTGCGAAGGATTACTGATATGGGCATTGAGTAATTTTGGCGCCAAAGTTATGGAACAGCTTGGCTGTCAAATATTACGAATGCGCACACAAAGTCGTCAAATTGAACATTAAATTGAAGGCGTGTGTATGTTTTTTTTGCAGAGTGGAGCTTTTCAATGTTTTTATTGTCGTTTGTTATAGGTGTTGTCTACGCTCTAATTTTGGAACATTGTACTGTATTTGATCTGCAGTTATCGAGTAATTATCTCGAGTAGCCTTTTTTGTCCTGACGGCTCGAGAATTACTGCATGGGTGGCACGCCATGAATAATAAATGACGACGGTGATGATGATCAGCGCTTAATTTCTTCCTCCACATTTCCTGGAACGCTGCTAGGCTGGCTTGGAGTTGTGATTACGGGCTTAAGGCACTACCGGCAGACTACAAAGTACTCCCATCCGTAATAATCCTCTATTATTCTGCCCTATATTCCCATAATCCTATGAAGTATTAAAATGCGTTGCTTGCACATCACGAGGACAGTGACGAATATGTTCACCCCCTCGCCTGGTACGCAGGAGGTCGTGGGCTCGATCCCAACCCTAACGCCTGCTAGATATTTGGTGTTTGCGTGTTTCTCTCTCTCTCTCTCTCCGTGGTGAGATGTTAACTACCTCGCCTGGTACACAGGAGGTCGTGGGCTCTATCCCAACCCTAACGCCTGCTGGATATTTGGTGTTTGCGTGTTTCTCTCTCTCTCCGTGGTGAGATGTTAACTACCTCGCCTGGTACACAGGAGGTCGTGGGCTCTATCCCAACCCTAACGCCTGCTGGATATTTGGTGTTTGCGTGTTTCTCTCTCTCTCCGTGGTGAGATGTTAACTACCTCGCCTGGTACACAGGAGGTCGTGGGCTCTATCCCAACCCTAACGCCTGCTGGATATTTGGTGTTTGCGTGTTTCTCTCTCTCTCCGTGGTGAGATGTTAACTACCTCGCCTGGTACACAGGAGGTCGTGGGCTCTATCCCAACCCTAACGCCTGCTGCTGGATATTTGGTGTTTGCATGCCTCTCTTCCAGTGGTCGCGTGTCCTCCGATTTTTCGCCTCTACATTTAGAAACATGCGTTTAGAGTATTTGGCTGCTGTACATTTACACGTGATGGTTCACTTCGTTGAGCTATCAATTGTGGTCAGGTCGCTTCAGACAAAGAGCTATATTGCTCAGTGAGCCTTACCTGGTAAAATAATAAAAAAAATAGTTTAGTTTTTTTTGTTTAATTTGAAAGTTTTAGATCATCGCTTAATTCCTGGAACAGCATTCAAAAATTCCCCAAGCTGAAATTAAGCCGCGATTATGACGATGATGATCCCAAAGTCCATAGTGATAGGGCAAGTGGGTTTACAGCCTCGAAGTCGTAAGCAGACTGCGGGCTGCGTGTCACCACACACACACACATCTCTCGCGGCTCACTCTCGTCGCTGTCCACTGGACCAGCGGTCCCCAACTTTTTTGTCACCAGGGACCGGTTTCGTGGAAGACAATTTTTTCACGGACCGGGGGTGGGGGGGGGGGGGAGTTCATCATTGGGTCTTTCCCCCTTTCCAAAGAAGCTCTCCAGACACTTTTTTTTTTTACTAATTTTGGCTACTAGGGGTTCGAGCTAGTGGGCTTACCAACACTGTGACCGAGACGAGTGCGCAGTGCGGGGAAGAGGCGCGCACGGTCGTGGTGAATAATAAAATAATGTGGGCGGGCCACGCGCATGGACTCAGCGCTCTCACCTCCTGCTGCTGCTGCTGTGTGGCCCGGTTCCTAACAGGTCACGGGCCGGTACCGGTCCGTGGCCCGGTGGTTGGGGACCCCTGCACCGGACTTTGCGCGGCCTAAGATCACAAGCACCATCCCACCCAAGCAAATGCGCTCGACGCATTCGCCTCTTCTGTTTTTATTTTTATACCTCGCATTAGACCTCTTTTACGCGGGCTCCCGTAAATCGCTTTAGTCCAAACTGTGATAGCGACGTCTATGAAACTGCCTCATGTTGAGACGAGTTATAATGCACTATGTGCTTGTTGAAGGAATCGTTTGTTTTAAGCTCATACCAATGGGTTGGTCAAATCGGTTCGACTAAATTGTTGAGTCTTCTTCGTGCAAAAAAAAAGCGATACTGGTTATTCGCTTGGATTCACAACAGCTCGTCAAGCAATCAGTGAAAATACCAGCGTCTGTTGCAAACTGCGGTTTTAAAAAAAGTGGGTTAGTGTTTACACAAGCAAGTCTAATGTACTGGTCACACAAGTGATTTGTAAATCATTTAACCTGTTTGGCAGTTTTTTTATTATTTTATCAACTCTTGTCGGGGGTCAGTGAACACGAATGTGAGGAATGCTCAGGGCTGGCTTTCCAGAGAGGCTGGATGCACTCACACACACACACCACACACACTCACAAAGATCCCCCATATAGCCTTAACAAGCTGTAGGGGCAAGTGCTGTTAGCAAGCACCTATGAAGGCCGGAACGGTACACGAGGGGGTGGGTGGCCAGCACCACGCCCGACCGCCTTCGTCTCCCTAGTGGCGATGTTTACACACCGCACCAGGTACTCATTTGAGGCTGAGTCGACCTAGGGGAGGCCCGGGACCGGTTCAGATAATCGTCACTGGTGTTGGCCGTGAGCGGGAATCGAACCCGGGTCGCCAGGTTCATAGCGCAGCGCGCTAACCGCTACACTACCGTGCCGCGCCCGCTTAGCCCCCTCGATCCGGCCGAACAAAAGCTGTTTCGGCATGCGGTGGCTGGGCATGCGGGCTACATGACCCAGCCATTGCAGCCTTCCCCGCCGGAGGAGCTCACCGATAGGACCTTGCCCAGATCTCTCAAGGATTTGTGAGCTCCTCACACAATCCAGTCTCGTTAAACCCAGGATGGATCGTAGGCAGGCCAGCCTAAATGTTTCTAACCGGCGAAGATGTTCCATTAGGGGGGTCCACGTTTCGCAAGCGTAGAGAAGGGAGGGAATGACCGTGGCCGAGAAGACCTGAAGCTTAGTGCGGAGCGACAGACCAGGTAGCTTCCACGCAGCATTACGCAACCGATGAAAAGATATTGCTGCTCGACTGATTCGGAGTGAGACCTCTGCTGTTAAACTGGAGCCGGTCATAAGCACACTGCCCAGGTATGGGAAACTCTCCACTCGCTCCACAACTGCCCCATCACCGATTGGGAGTTGTGGGGGTGGAGTGTCCGATGGTACAAAATACCCAGGCAGGTGCTTAGTTTTGGTGGGGCTGATGGGAAGGCCCCACCTCTTAGTGGCACGCTCCAGTCTCAGCAGCAGCGTCTCCAACTCCTCCTCTGAATGAGCAGCTATTACCAAATCATCAGCATACATAACGTGGTTGAGCAATAGGGAGCCATCCCTTGACCGCACCCAGGCATCGATCAGCCTCCCATTATATCTGTACCATATGGAGA